CAGAGAGAGGCTGCGGCGGGAGGGAGAGGAGGGGGTGCTATGGGGAGCTAGCTTAAAAGCCAGTTCCCTCTTCTAGCTCCAGTTTAGTGGGAGGGGGCAGAGGTACAGTGCAGTGTTCCACCTTTGAAATGTGCAAGAGTCCCCGATGAGGCTCTTGTATATTTCAAAGCGGAAGCACTGCATGGAGCCTGCCGCCAGTGGTGGACTCTGTCGCCCCAGTCTCAGTGCCACATTTCAAACTTTGAAATGCACAAGCGCCCCATCAACTGTTCAATTAGTTGATTTATCTAATTTTAACATCTGTAGTCCAGTAGCCTTATTATGCCCTGAATAATTGTAAAACTTTACCTGATTTTTGGCCTCAGAATCAATACTGTAGGATTAGAAATAAATTATCTTCATTGCTAATTGAAAGACAGTGGATGATAGCATATGTTATTCAAAATGGTTTAAGTTTATTATTGAAGAAAATGAAGAATAGATAACACTGGTAAAATACAAACCTAGTGTAAGTAGCTATTGTACAATTCATATCACTGCTTCTGCAGTTTAATTATGACCTTCTAAAATTTCTTGATTTGGTTCCTTAGCTTAGACTCTCTGCTACTTTAATAGTATTATGATGAACGCATTTTTATTAATTTGTTTTCTGGTAGTTCCTAAATGCCCCAAATCAGGATCAGTACTCTATTGTACTGGCACTGTACACAACTAATGACAAACAGTCCGTGCCCCAAATTGCTTACAATCTTAACAGAAAAGCTAGACAAATGTAAGGAGAAATGTAGCATAGAGGAAGCAGAATGATGGCTTGTAAACACCATGCTGTTTTTTTGTTTCTGTTTTTTTAAGTTTTCCTTTTAAAAAGTATATGTAGTAGCTCACTGTGTGATCCGGGAGATTGGATAAGTTACTAGAGCATAAGAGTGAACAAGCATAAGGGAATGATGGAAGGGAATATGGTGAGCATAAAGAGTAAAGTTGCAGCAGAGAGACTATGAAGAAAGGATTGATGTGGTTTGAAGAAAATATTTTCTTCCTTGCTCATTGTTGCGGATTGCAGGACATGTTCATAATCAAAATAAACTTTTTTTGGGGGTGGAGAAAGAAGAGAATTGGTAAGAATTTTTGGAACTTCCTGGTAAAGGTGCTGCTTCAGATCTAGACTAATGGAGTCTCTAGGCTTCACAGGGCTGACTCTACCTGCAGTTTGTCTCCCAAATCAGAGTGGCTAGGGTCGGGTAGGAATGTGAGCCTGGAACACTGGATGTGGAAGGACCCTGGAAGGGGAACCCCACTTTGTCTTGGCATAGTGAGCAGCACAACTCCTGTTGAATTTTGTTCTAAAAATGTGCTGTAGAATCAGTCAGAATTTCTTTTATTACAGCTCTTTCAGTTAAGTGGTCTTCCAGTATTTGACCTGAAAAAAAGAGGACTTTTGCAACAGTGGTCAAAATTAGTTTGCCCAAATTAAAATGGAAAGAAGATGCTAATGTTTGAAGTAAACTAGTTTGCAAAAGGAGAACATTGGCCTGAACAAATGCACTTGAAATTCTTAATTGATTTGTTTAGTGCCTGCTCTGTTTGAAATTCATTCAGGTTTTAAATGTATACTTTGAAGTTATTTAGTGAATTTGAACAAAAACACCTGCATTTGCTGTTTTAGAAACAGAAAAAATAAATTCACCCTAGCATATCAATTCTTTAGATTGTGGTGTAAGACTAACTTTGCATACTGTGGCTGTCTTGTAACAAACCAGTTCTACTAGCCAGATGCAGAGAAACATTGGAATTAGAGTTCATCCACAAATTCAATTCATATGCTAATGGGCTCAGTGGTGATGAAGGATGGTTAGGACACTACCAACTTAACAGCCAGTGAAGGTGCACACATCTCTTTGTCTAGACTCCTGTGTCAGAAATTGACTTTGATTCTTATCTGGTTCGTTTTAACTACCCAATCTTCAGATACTTACTGATTCCTTCTAGCTCCCTGTCTCCCACCCCCTTCTTTTTCCTCTCCCCCTCTCCTATTTATTTTGGGTCTGCACATCCTAAACTCAAAACTCCTATCATTTGAAGAAGTGGGCTGTGCCCACGAAAGCTCATGATACCATCTACATGTTTTGTTAGTCTGTAAAGTGCTACCAGACCATTTGTTGTTGTTTTTTTTGCATACTGTGTAATTAATTGCTTTAATTATAGCTTTTGGTTACTTATATCTTGCATTTTCTGAATTATATATTTCAGAATACCATGTTAGCTTAAGTCAGCCAGCACTTCGCTGTTGGTGTCTTCTTTCTTTGCCTTTACCAGTTAGATAACTTGTACTATAACTGAAAAATCTCCCAACAGGTTTTACAATTTCTAATTGTACAGATACTTTGGTGAAAGAAAGAGGTATATGGGAGATAGAATGCTGGGAAACCTGTTTCAAAATTTCTTCTACATTTGAACTCTTAAATTTCTTTTACCTCCCTCCCCTTTCTGTTTTGCAGCCATAGACCTTTTGTATGGGGGTATATACTGCTTTATGTGTCAAGATTACATATACGACAAAGACATGGAACAAATTGCCAAAGAGGAACAACGGAAGGCTTGGAAATTACAAGGTTTGGTTTTCCCACCTGAATTTCGTTTATTTGTTTTTAATCATAGCTGTCCCTCCCATTTGTCAATGGCAAAAACCAGTAAGGGGAAGAGAGAGATCTTTAGGGATAGTAGTGCAGATTGTGGGAGACACAGATATATAGATATTGCTGTCCGGAAGCTAGACTGTTAGTTTAATATGTGCATCACACTAAATTATAACAAAATTTTATTTTTTAATTATAATATAAAATCCTCTATCATGATCATGGACAACTTACCCTAATGTCATCAGAGTGAGATCTGCATCAGGTTGAAAATGTAACAATCTACCTCTTAGACTATCTTAGGTATCTCAGGCAAGAAATCTGTTCCCCTCACATGAAATGCCACCTTTGTTTGTGATTTTTTTTTATAGACTGTGACAGCTTACATACACACACCCATCTTCTTATTGTACACATAGTATATGTGTAAAGATATTTACACACAAATATATGTACACACATTTGTTTTGTTATTCAGTTTGCTTTCCCTAATTTTTTCTTTTTTAGCCTTCACCCCAACAGTGGTTTCTCACTACCAGTGTACAATGACAGGTAAGAGGCGTGGGCTGGCGACGCACCTCACTAACAAGCGTCCCTTTGCTGATTACTTGCCATGTTAGACATGAATCATGGTTGAGTGCCAGTTTTATAATGCAGATTGTTTTCCTCTTATTAGTATATGTTCCAGGGATCCAATAAGAATTATGAACTAAATATTGCATATCCTTCCCTTGATTGAGCTACTCCAAAGCAAATATTTTCCTTTTTTGGAGGGGAGAATGAATAGAGATTCTCTGAGTAGTGTTAAAGGGTCTCTGGTGGAAGCTTAACATCTTCCATTTTCAGTAGTTTCAAAAAATGTTTTTTCTTAAAGTGGAGAAGTCTGTATTTGAAGGCAGACTTTATATCTAATTATACACTGCTCTTAACAAATCTAAGGCATCCCTTTCCCATGTGACAAACCTAGCCAGGGGCTGGCATGCAAATATAAAATTTGCACCCTCAATTTAAGACATTTTAAAATTATAATATAAAATTCTCTTTTTGCCCCTTATGCTAGCATATTTTGAAGCAGTTCAGTCAGAGGAAGGAAAGGTAGTAGAGGATCTTAGAACAAGAAAATCATGGCATGAAATGCTTTCCTGCAAAGTATTTTGTTGCAATTATCTGGGAAAGTATTTTAAACCTTGCATTTAGTCTATGCTCCTCTATCTTTAATAACTCCACAAATCTGTTTAAAATTTGCTGACTTGAGCCCAAGAATTAACTACAAGAGCAAAACAGTTGCTCAGGAAATAAGAATTTTATGGACTTTTCCTCTCCTTCACCTTGATGAGTAAATTCAAAGAATATTTTCTTAAATTTCACTGTCTCCTGGAACTTGTATGTAAGTCGGAACTGGTACATATTGTAGGGGAAACTCTAGCCAAACATTTCTCCAGAGCTCAGTTTTATTCTCCCACACCTCACTTCCCTCAGTCCTTTATTCTCAAGCTGAGGTGTCTGATGAGAAAAGCCGCTCCGCGTCTCCCTGGTCTGCTGGGGGGGGAGGGGGGGGCGCTAGCTTCGCATCTCCCTGGTCTGCTGGGGGGAAGCAGCTAGTGTGGGGTTGCCTCACCCCGTTTGTAAGTAGGGATCATGTAACCCGGGGACTGCCTGTACTTTCTGACCCAAGACACACCAGTTTGTCTTCCAACAGACATTAGTGTCTATAGAATAGTTGAGAGAGAATTATGTACCACATTTTCAGACCTAGAGTCTGAATCAGTGATCTAAATGGGTAATAAACTGTTAAGATATAAAATGTAGCTACTTCTGTACGTGAATTTACGTTACAATAATATACAGTATAGATATTTTCTTTAAAGCTGTGACATAGGATTTTCCATTTAAAGTGTTTAATTTTGTAACTTTCCTTTGTGATGCAATTTACGTATCAGAAATTTTGTTGAGGAAGATTCAAAGCACATGTGCATTCTGGAGGGACAGTAGAGAATTGTCCTCTCACCAACAAGAACCAGAACTTTGCAGTGGTTCATGTCATTTAAAAAACAGCCGTTACAAAAAAAAATCTCCAAATAGGATGCTAGAATTAATAATATTGCTCAGAAACTGCATGGAGACATTCAGACTCCATTGCACACTTAAATTATGAGATGGCCTTAAAAACATAGAAGTTTAAGAATAGTAAATTCACGTTTATTATTTGCCTTCTTGTTTTTGAATCTTTAGAGTTCACATTTTCAGTCTTTTCTCCACAATCATGAGGGTTAGAAACTTTTTGTTTTAAAGAAGGCTGAGATTGTAATGTAACAACATGACTCCGAGAAAAGAGTCTTTAAGAAAAACCCCAAATGTCATAAGACTTATAATTAAAATTTCTGGAGTTGGAAATACTGGAATAATATCAGAAAATATTTGAAGATAGGACGTTTTAGGTAGCCTGAACCCACAAGTCTGGCCATAGTTCAAGACTGAATCCTCAATTCTTAGATGATAGTAATGAGCAACAAAATGGTGTTAAGTCTGTAATTCTCCCATATTTTCCAAGTACTGAATGTTTGCATATTTAATGGTGAGGAGAAGAAAATGTGTTTGGATGTTCTGTGTGTATCACCTCCTAACTAATGTTCAAAATCTGTATTTATTTGAGAATACCACAGTCATTAATCTTTTTTAATGAGTGCCTGCAAATTAGGGTTTTTAAAAAAAATTTAAAAGCAACAACCCAGTAAAGCCTCTGAAAACTTGCAGTACCTGGGTGTATGGCCATTCATTAAAATACTTAAGTAAACTGTAAACCGATTCTTGGATGGAGGTTTCAAGACCTCATACGCCAGGCTGCAAATCTAAGTCTGTTTTACAGCACCATTTTGAAAACAGTCAGTTTTTTCTCCAGTAGTCATACTGCTTCCCTTACCCATACCTGGTAATTTGTGCATGCCTTGAATTTTTCAGTCTATTTAAGGTTGTTCATATTGCAGATTTTAGTGCACCCTTCTGTGTTTTCATGCTCCCCACCCACTGTTACTGGAAAAATCTGAACCATTGCCAAAGGGAGGAATCAGTCTTTCCATGTGTTTTGAGGGGCACACCTCAATTTTCTCCTTACCGTTTATGAAAAGAATAAATGTAAAGGGAAGAGGAAGCCTTTGAATTTGCTTGCTCCAGTTCCTTTTCTCTACCGTAAACTCTAATGCTAAACAAAACTTGTGACCTTTCTAATAAGAGGTTTCCTGTAGGAGAACTGTCACACCTGTTTTGCTCTTGATGTTTGTCCTGGCATTTAACTTTGTGTATGTGTTTTTAATTACTACTTAAACAAGACTTAATTGCTTCACCCAGAATCCTACAAAGCTGTCAGATCTTTTATTTACCGTGGCTGCCTTAAAATTACTTCAGGATTCACATTTGCTATTAAGCAGTTGGATCCCAAACTGTACAAATGCTCATGCAGCGTGCTTTACTTAATGCGTGTGACTAGTTTCATTGACTCCTGTGGAACTATTCTCATGCATAGAGTTAACCCACCTTTGTGTGAACTCTTATCCAGTAAACCAATATTTGTACACATTGGATGTGTTTATTTTTTAACAGTCTTGTTAAACAAAGTTCAGTGCTTATTGACAAACTATACTAAATTGGCTTGGTCACTTTTAAATTGTAACATAACTGAATCTTGCCTGGTTTGTAACTGACCAGTCTAATAGCTGGTAATACTGAAATATTGGAAATAATATAAAATTCTGACAGTTTGCTTGCAAACCCATTTATTATAAATTAATATAGAAATATTGTGAATCTGAAAAAAAATTGTTGAAGCTGTCTATTGAAAAGCTTATTGCGAGCCAATGTTCTGTCATATGTGGACTGTCCATATGTGTGTCTCTGTAATGCTGCTTCATTCAGCATTTGCCTGTGCATACTGTGTAGTGTATTCAAAGCATTGCAGCTGTTTAATCTCCTCAATCTGTTACATGGTAATTATTTTCCCTTTTTATTTTCCTTGTTTTTTTGTTAATGCTGATCCTTGGGAATAGGGAAGGGGTGGTGTTATTTCTTGTGCTCTTTCATTAAAAATGGTCAAGTCAGAGAAAGTAGAGAACTATACATCTACATAGATGTGAACTTTGTTGTCCTCATGGATCCAAGAATGAGACCTCAGTCATTTGCAGGAACCTTGAGGGTCAAGAGTAACTATGACTCAGGCATTTTGGATGTGTAACTTTTGACAGGCAGAGCTATTTCTGAAAATGAAGATCAAAGAGCTATTAAAAATGAAATATGTACCATGCAGAATGTGTAAGCCTCCAGCTACATTTGCTACATTTTCTTTTCATGTGTATGATTTATAATTTATTTTCTCTAGCACAGTACTGTTTCATCGATATGCATTCTGCACAGAATAAGATGAACTCTAATTGACTTTAATCCTCAGTTTTAGAATAGATTGCCTGTCTTTTTTTTTTAATGCCAAAATGCTTTTGTGACTCACTATAACTGGCCTTGCATAGCAATTTTTCTCTTTGCTGCATAGAATGCTGCAGCAGCCTTTAGATGGTCAGCTCCTGGGTCTTTTGTTGTTGCTGTAGTTTTCATATTTCAGATTATACTGTAGTCATCGCTGTGTCCACAGCTAACTAGTTCTGCTGACTGCTGGCTCTCTTAACTCCCCCTTACCTTACAGTCCCTCAATAAGAAATGTTTTTGAAACATATTAGTGGGGACTTTTATTTTAAGATATTAATATATCATTTCAGCCATTGCTCTTGAGAAAATAAGATTTTTCTTTGAGCAGTGGGGAGTTAAATTTTTAAAAAATGCAGTACATCTAACTATTTCTGGGGAATGTTTTAAGTATTCAGCCTTCATTCTACTAGAGTCTCTTTGCTATTACCCAATACTACAACAGCATTGTGAGAGTTATAGCAGCATACCCCCAAATATGTAATGAGGGAATACACTATTAAATTTAATCCAAGTCCTTTCCAATCTGCTTTGCATCTATTACGAGTGAGTAAGACTGTAGCTGTCCAGTTGGTTGGATCTATTTTGGCTTATTTACCAAATTTGTCATTTAATTGAAGAGATATGGGGACAATTGTCTAAGTTGCCCTGTATATCAGCCAATCTGTGCTTAGCCCCAAGACATGCAGTTCTGCTAGCAGCATGACCCCTTTGAGCCTAAAGAAAATCATGAACAGTTGAAACAATAAATAACACTGGATTGGCTTTCATGCTGGGGTCCTTTTTAATTGGAGGTTTTTTCATCCATTGGTGGAAAGACTGTTACTTAGAAACAGATAGATAGGAATTCTATACAAGTAACTGCTTTTGTGTTCTTTTAGCCCATATTTATGGGAACATATTGTCAAGGTCAATTGCTGCCTTTCTGAACAGTAATAAAAAGCAAGCTGGCTATTGTAGATTTTGTATACAGAATCCAACTTAATGGACAGTGCATCACAACCTTTTCTTGAAAGTATCTTTTGAGTTGTTCTGGCTTAACAGCACCCTGAAACTTTCTTTTCATCTGCTCAGGCATTGGAGAAAAGTATTCAACATGGGAGCCAACCAAACGAGAGTTAGAATTGCTACGACACAACCCCAAGCGGAGAAAAATAACCACAAATTGCACCATAGGTAAGTTAAGGAAACAATTTCTTAGATTTCTCCACCCAACTGCACTTTCAAAACCCCATTATGTTTTTCCTGCCTTTCAAGGTTTCAGTGTATATTTTCATGTCGAGTGTTAAATTGTTTTTCTTTTAAAATGTATCCTGTCCTGCTAATGACCATGTGTACTGACTTCCATCCTCTCTTCTGTATAGAAGGATGTGTGTTCTGTCATTTCAGATAACGAAGATAGTGAATTTCCATAGGAGACCTTCAAAGTAGGAGACACTTAAAATCTGTGTAAAGTAGGAAATTCTATGGAAAAAAATCCCTACTGATGTACCACCAGTTTAGCTGAACTTTTAATTGACATGGTGGTAAAAATGCTGGAAGGTCCCACAACTTAATCTACATTAGCACTCCCAGTAGAGCTACCACCAAGGCCGTTGCATCAGGGGAAATTCTCTTGTTCAGGCATAGCCCAAATTTCATCATCCTTTCACTTGAGAGCTTTGGCCTTTTATCAAATGGGAGCTTTAGTCTTTTTACCAGATGGGAGCTTGGACTTCTTTCCTTCTGCTTTAGATGGTCCAGAAGAGAACAACAAAAATGATAAAAAGTTTAGAAAATCTGACTAGGAAAGAAGGTTAACAAAACTGAGTGTGTCTAGTCTTGAGAAAAGAAGATGGAGGGCAGACCTAATAAGTCTTCAAAATAATCTCTGGTGTTATAAAAAGGACCATAAACTGGTGTTTTCCATGTCCACTGAAGTCAGGACAAGAAGTAATCAGCTTAGTCTGCAGTGGTAAAGATTTATGTTAATACAGGTTGAACCTCTGTGGCTGTGGCTCTCTGATCGAGCAACATCCTGGGTCCAGCAGGACCACAGACGTTGCCAGACCAGAGAGCCACAGCCACAGAGTTTGCCAGCAGTTGGAAGTTCAGCCAGAATTCAGTCTAGAGAACCAGTGGCCTGGGAGCAGGAAGCCCAGCCAGTGAACCGTAGCTGGAGCAGGGCCGGGAGGGGAGTTCCACTGGCCAGGGGCAGCGCACTGGCTGTCAGAGCGGAATACTGAGGGTACGTCTAGACTACATGCCTCTGTCGCCAGAGGCATGTAGATTAGGCTACCAGGCATAGGAAAATGAAGCGATTTAAATAATCGCCGCTTCATTTAAATTTACACAGCTGCCGTGCTGAGCCGACAAACAGCCGATCAGCTGTTTGTCGGCTCC